AAAGATGCACCATAGGCTTGCCCGTAGTGTACTGCTCTACTAATCGAGCTCATTCAGTCTAATATCAAGTAGGACTTTAATTGGTTATAATATAGGTCGGGTAGGATATATTTGGATATAAGAGTGACTACACCTCCTTAAACACTTTAATACATACACTTTAACATTTAAAACCCCACACTTATGTCAAACTATAACTCCATCTTCACATCAATGTATATTAACTCCATACTTCCTTAAGCACAATTACATCAAGAGTCACCACTATCAAGGAATATATTTCACAGCAATACAACCATTTTTTTCTTTCTTTTTCAATTCAAGTGACTTTTACTTTTTCAAAATAGTGTACATTTCTCCTTATTTCATTAGTTCCACTCAAAAGCCAAACCAACGACCCCACACTTTAACTTTTACAAAGTTCATTACAATTCAAGTGCTCATGAGAGGTGAAAAGTTTCAAATAGATGGTTAATTCAAACAAATGGGTAAGGCTTGTAATGTGGTTGCCAAAGAAATAGGATTACATACTCAAAGGGTTAACTACGATACATAACAATTAGGTGGGTAAAACATAAAACTGGTTCAACAAAGAAACGCCTATATCACTTCCAAGACTGAACAAAACTACTATTTCGCTTTGCAAACACACAGGGCAAGTTCTAGACATCAAATGCAATGCACAGAATAACACACAAACCTCACACACACATGGCACATAACTCACTTAGGATTGGACTCATCAAGACACTAGTCAAAGCAGTTAAGCAAAGTTAAGATCATACATTTTAAGGTAGTTATAAAAGAGTCAAAAACTAAGCCTACGCGTCACAACCAAAGTACTCACTATTCTCAAGAAATAACAAAGTTAAGAGATATTTCTTTAATTCAATTCATAGCACAATGACTCTTACTCCTAAAAAAATAAAACTAACTACACTCGGTTCAAGCAAAACCTTTGAAAAAGAACCGCGACACAAAGAAAAACCAAGGGGGAATTACTACACTACCTAAAAAGAAAATCTTTTTGTCCTTTTTCTTTAGACTTAAATCCCTTAAGAAAACTGTCTAGGAGATCCATCGTCGGGAAAAGTCCAATTTTTCTACTTTTCTTTTTCCCGATTTTTCTTAGGTGCTACTAATATACTACATAACTACGAAAACCAAAATAAGAAATTAATATTTTTGTAACATACTACAAAAAATTCTCCCACCCCACACTTAAAGGAGTGCAGTGTCCCCAATGCACAAATAAAGCAAAACAATAATGAGGGTGGACAAGAAACTCCCTGAAAGGCCAAAGGCCGAAGCAATAGCGGCTCACGGGGTACTCAGACTTCCCCCAGGCATGGTCCTTTGTGTGGGCACGCTACACTTAGTTCTCACCATCTAGCTCGCTTTTGCACTCTTCCAATGGCTTTGCTTCCTATTCTTATAACCCTACAAAAAAAAACAGACACTACAACAATAAGATAAAAATATAAATAAAATAAAGTAGTAAAGCTGGGTTGCCTCCCAACAAACGTCTAATTTAACATCGTGGCACGACACAGAATCTTGTCTAATCATTGGCAAGTAACACCTTCGACTTTTGACGATCAAAGTCACCTCTATAATAGTGCTTTACTCTTAGTCCATTTACTAAGAATGTTCTCTCGCCACCTAAGACGCGCAGCTCAATTGCACCATGTGGAGTGACTCTTACTACCTCAAACGGGCCCGACCATCTCGATTTGAGCTTCCCCGGAAAGAATCTCAATCTCAAATTAAAAAGATAACCAATTGGCCCGGTTCGAACTCGCGATGGTGGATATGCTTATCATGCCAACACTTGGTATTTTCTTTATATAACTTGGCATTCTCATACACATGCAAGCGAAACTCATCAAGCTCGTTCAATTGCATCAACCACTTTCTACCTGCTAATTCTGCATCAAAGTTCAGCTTCTTTATCGCCCAATAGGCGTTGTTCTCAAGTTCCACCGATAAATGGCATGCTTTCCCATAAACCAGCTTGTAAGGGGAGGTTCCGATTGGAGTTTTGTAGGCGGTCCGGTATGCCCATAGAGCATCATCAAGATTTGCAGCCCAATCTTTCCTACTTGCACTAACCATCTTCTCCAGAATATGCTTTATCTCTCTATTTGAGACTTCAACTTGTCTACTAGTCTGAGGATGGTAAGCGATTGTAACCTTATGTTTGACCCCGTATTTCGCTAAGACATTGTCTAATAGCTTGTTATAGAAATGGGTGCCCCCATCACTTATCATCACTCTCGGAGTGCCGAACCTTGTAAAGATATGCTTTTTCATAAAGTTGACCACAACCTTGACATCATTGGTAGGAAAAGAGATGGCCTCCACCCACTTCAACACATAGTCGACGACTACCAAAATGTACTTACACCCCCTGAACGAGGGAAACAGACCCATAAAATCAATTTCCCACACATCAAAAATTTCAACCTCCATAATACCGTGCAATGGCATCTCATGCATTTTCGTAATTATTCCTGTTCTCTGGCACCTATCACACCCCCTCACGAACTCATGGGCATCTTTAAACACCCTAGGCCCATAGAAACCCGATTGCAATACCTTAGCGTTTTTCACCCGCATGATGACCGCCATAAGGCGACGCATGACAGCCATGTAAAATAACATTTATTTCAGATTCAGGCACACATCTTCTTATTAACTGATCCGTACAAGATTTGAACAGAAACGGCTCATCCCACACATATGATCTCACATCTCGCAAGAAATTCTTTTTAGCTTAAGGTTCAAGATTAGGCGTCATTTCTTCACTTACCAGATAGTTTACAAAATCTGCATACCATGGCACCTCCCCAGCAGTAACGGCCAACAATTGCTCATCCGGGAAGGTTTCCTTGATGACATCTCCCTCAGCTACATGATTCCGAGTTTCTAACCTGGATAAGTGATCAGCCACTTGATTCTCTGTTCCTTTACGGTCTTGGATCTCCAAGTCAAATTCCTGCAAGAGTAAAAATCAACGGATTAGCATTGGTTTAGTATCTTTCTTTTCGAATAAGTACCTGATGGCTGCATGGTCTGTGTAGACGATGACTTTGGTGCTAACCAAATAGGCCCAAAATTTATCGAATGCCCACACTACAGCAAGAAACTCCTTTTCTATCACAATATAATTTATTTGAGCAAGAGTGAGAGCCTTGCTTGCATAGTAAATGGAGTGAAATATTTTGCTCCTCCTCTGGCCCAATACGGCCCCAATTTCACCATCACTAGCATCATACATCAGCTCAAATGGTTCGTTCCAATCAGGAGCCACTATGATTGGTGCACTCACTAACCTCTTTTTTAGCTCCTCGAATGCTTTTAGACAAGAATCGTCAAACTTGAACGACACATCCTTCTCTAACAACCTGCACAAAGGAGAGGAAATTTTTGAGAAATCCTTTATAAATCGGCAATAAAAACCCGCATGTCCCAGAAAAATCCTAACTCCTTTCACTGAAATCGGTGGTGGCAACTTTTAAATTGCTTCCACCTTAGCCTTATCAACTTACAGTCCATCTTTGGACACCTTGTGTCCCAGCACTACCTTCACGTACCATAAAATGGCACTTTTTCCAATTTAGTACCAAATTAGTCTCCTCACACCTAGCAAGCACTTTATCAAGATTGGCCAAGCATTCATCAAAAGAAGAACCAAACACAGAAAAACATCCATAAAGACCTCCACAAACTGTTCCACCATAATGGTGAAAATAGGCATCATATACCTTTGAAAAGTTGCAGGCGCAATACACACCCCGAATGGCATTCTCTTAAATGCATAAGTGCCATAAGGGCATGTAAAAGTGGTATTTTCTTGTTTTTCCGGGGCAATAGCAATTTGATTATACCCTGAATAGCCATCAAGGAAATAATAGTATTCTTGTCCAGCTAACATGTCAAGCATTTGATCAATGAAGGGGAGAGGGAAGTGATCTTTTCGTGTAGCATTATTAAACTTCCTATAATCTATGCATATTTGCCAATCAGTCACAGTCCTAGTTGGGATTAATTCATTTTGTTCATTCACTACAACAGTCATACCCCCCCTTTTTAGGTACACATTGAATATCGCTTACCCACTTACTATCGGAGATAGGAAATACTATACATGCGTCGAGCCACTTAATCACTTCCTTTCTTACCACCTCTTTCATGATTGGATTTAGGCGGCGTTGATGTTCCATGTTAGGCTTGTGTCCCTCCTTCATGAGTATTTTGTACATGTAGAATGCAGGGCTAATACCTTTTATGTCAGATATTGTCCAACCAATGGCATGCTTTTGCTCCCTCAGCACCCTTAAGAGCTTTTCTTCCTGTAATTTAGACAAATGAGAAGAAACAATCACCGGTAAAAAGGTAGAACTTCCCAAATATGCATAATGAATATGAGATGGTAAGGATTTAAGTTTCAGTTTTGGGGCCTCCTCAACTGAGGGTTTAGGGGGCGGGCCGATTGGCCTATCTAGAGGCTCAAATTGGGATCTTTCTCTTATGTATTCGCAAGATGCATCTAGAATTTGCAACATCTCCTCAACCTCTTCTTCAAGTTCTAAGTGACTGAACAACATCAATGCCTTTTCAAGTGCATCTTCTTTAAATGCACTTGGCTCTACGGTTGGTTCATTTATCTCCACCACAGAAATCATGGCCAGGTCCTCGTAATGACGAGGCAACTAAATGGCTTGATATACATTGAAGACTGCTTCTTCATTGTCCACCCTCAGTATCATCTTACCTTCTCGGACTTTGATAATTGCATCTCCAGTGGCCAAGAGTGGTCGTCCCAAGATGATAGGAATTAACTTATCAGCCTCGTAGTCTAGGATGATAAAATCTGCAGGGAAAATAAACTTCCCAATTTGCAGAAAGACGTCCTCAATTACCCCCCCAGGATAAACATAAGATCTATCAGCTAACTGTAGCATCACCATGGTGGGTCTCGGAGCTCTTATGCCTAATTATTTGAACACTGACAACGGCATCAGATTGATACTTGCACCCAAATCACACAAGGCTCTACCCACATCAATTTCACCAATCCTCACAGGGATAGTAAAACTACCCGGATCCTTAAGCTTTTGTGGAAGCTTATGTTGAATCCTGTAAGTGTACTCCTCAGTAAGTGCGACGGACTCAAACTCAGTTAACCTCCTTTTATTTGCCACTATATCCTTAATATATTTTGCATATTTTGGGAACTCACGGAGCATGTCCACCAAAGGGATGTTCAATTGTATCTGCTTCAGCATATCTAGAAATTTGTGAAATATGTGGTCATCATTCTTCTTTCTCAATCTTTGAGGAAAAGAGGGTGGCACCCTCTCTGATATTTGCTCAGACTTTGTTTTGTTTCTCTCATCTACCTCTACAGGTTTTGGCACTCTTTCTTCTTCGAGCCCAGACTGCTCCTTTTTCTTCTTAGGCACTTCTACCAACTCTCTCCCATTTCTCAAGTCACCGCATCGACTTGAGGATTTTTCTCTGTATCAATTGGGAGAGTTCCAGCAGGTCTAATATTCTGATTGTTAGTCATTTTCCCAAACTGCCTCTCTAGATTTCTGAACTATGTGCGCAATTGTTGATTCTCAGCCATAACTTTTTGATTGTCTAGCAAGAGCTTTTTCATCATGTCAGTCAAACTCTCTTATGCTTGTTGTGGGGGTTTAGGTGGCTGATTATAATTAGCTTGAGTCCTGATATTCTAATTGCCATCCCAAGAGAAGTTAGGGTGATTCCTCCAGTTCGGATTGTGTGTTACCATATTAAGCATTTTGATTCATCGGCCCTCTAGCTTATTGCCCCACATAGTAGATGAATTCAGGATTCACGGGGCATATGTCACTTGTGTGACCTTCACTACATAACTCGCAGCAAGTAGATATATGTTGCACATGTTGCATCTATTGTGCTTGGTGCATTGCCATTTTATTCATCTGATTTGCTAATCTCGCTATATCTTCCCTCATGGCTAAGAAATCATCAAGCTCGATCACAGCTACTGCCTTTTGTTTAAGTGATCTCCGTGGTTCCCCATCTCCTTGCTAATTATTATCATTAGCAGTGAAATTGTTTAGCAGGATCAAGATATCACTATAGGGTCTTGCCATGCAACTACCCCCACATGCTGAGTCAAGATTCATCTTTGATGCCTCGTCTAACCCATCAATGAAAGTGTGACCCAACACCTCATCAGTCTGACAATGATGTGGGCAGTCTCTGAGTAGCTTCTTGTATCTTTCCCAAGCTTGTCGAAGAGTCTCGCCATCTCGTTGTTGAAACCCAAGAATCTGGCTCCTTAGCGGCTTTGTCTTGTTAGTGGGAAAAAACTTGATTAAGAATTTTCTTGCTAGATCATCCCAATTATGGATTGAGTTCGCGGGCTCTTTTTACAACCATTCCTTAGCTTCCCCCAGCAGTGAAAAGGGAAACAGTGTCAGCCTGACATAGTCCTTGGAAACGTTCGGATAATTGTAAGCGTCTGTAATTTCCAGGATGTTCTGAATGTGCCTCTGTGGGTCTTCATGAGATAGACCCACATATTGCCCTGTGGATTGAATCAGCTGTACCATGTACTGTTTGTGTTTAAAGTGACCCATGAAATCAGGCTTCACAATTGCCTGAGTCATGTTAGCCAGATTGGGCCTTGCAACTTCTATCACCGGATGCTCTTCATTAACTTCCATCTCTATAGGCTATGGTTGAACTACGATGTCCAACTCTCTTTTAATTCTAGTTCTAGCTTTGACTTCCCTACTCACTCTGTGAAGTGTTCGTTTGATTTCAGGATCAAGAGGAAGGAGATTGTTTGTGCTTTTACTCCTCCGCATTCAAGAAAAGAGCCTGCGTTATCACAAATAAACCAAACTAAAAATTAAAACTTGAACAAATAACGAATAAAAACTGAACTTAAATAAACAATCAACAACTAAGTCCCCGACAACAATGCCAAAAACTTGTTGGTTCCCCAAGTACACGCAATTATACGTGGCCGTCAAGTAATAAAGTGACTCAAAAGTTGGATGTCGAACCCACAAAGACATAGATCAATCGTTAACTAAGAAAACTAAAATCTATTAATTGTCCAAGATAATCAAGAGTGATATTTTTCTATTAATCTACTATTGCGGAAATTAAACAAGTAACAACTAATTTATCAAGAGTGCAAATGTGTATGATAAGATTTTAATTAAGAGGAGATAAAAATTCCAGGGTTGTGGTCTGTTTATCAATCCTATTAAGTTCAATAATCATACTTGTTAAATCCAGATTATCTATGGTTGCTAATTAACCAGATTGTTTATATGAATAGCATGTTCTGACAATACTACTCGCATGTCCATAATATATCAATCCTATATTCCTATGGTATTGAGTCTATCATGAACGAATATAATACGGTATTTAACTAAGCAAGACCGTTAGATATATTCCTATCCTAACCGCAAAATCTTTCCCCGAGCCATGGGTTCAGAAACAAGCTCTCTTTAATTCTACTCTAATCTAAACACGGCTTTCCCAAGAATAGCATAGATAGTATGGTGAATTGATTGCTACAACAATTCACAAGTTAAAACTTAGAATTAAAGAAACAACCACAAGATGATAATCCAAATCAACAAAGATGTACTTAATAAACGTTAATAATCATGTCAACCACAACCCTAGAAACTAGAGTACTTAGCCACTCATGTTTGTAGTAACAACTTTCCAAGTATTTTGCATAAACAAATTACAAAGAAAAGTTGAAGGAATGAAGAACTCGATGATTTTCTCCTCCAAAGAATGTTCCCAACGTCTTCTCTCTTCCCAAAAGAGTCTCCTTAGGTCTAAGGTATGTCAAAAGTTAAGAAAATAATGATTTTACATGTATTTATACCAAGTAGGGTTAGGCCAAGACGAAATCTCCCTTTCCTAGCCGAAATAGGAAAACTTGCAAACTTAATGCTTTTCATGCGTCGCCCAGTGCGTCGTATTGTGCGTCGCACTAATATATTTTCCTGCCAGACCACAAAAAACCCAGTCTCTGAAATTTGGATATTTCTGACAAAACTTTGCACTAATGCGTCGCACAGTGCCTCGCACTAATGCATTTCTTCAGCAGTTGCTTATTCATTGAATTTTGACGTCCAGAATTGATCCTCGACCCCCGAACACGATCCCAGCTTAATCCCTTGGGCTTTTACTCAGACTTCAAAGCTCCAAATAGCTCGAATTCATTCCAAAACATCTACATAGCTTAGAATCACTCCTACAAGGCATAAAACACGCAATTAGTACAAAACAGTAGCGATTAAAGCTCAAACACAATAAACGTGCATTAAATTAGAGTACGATAAGCGACTAAAATACACAATTATAGCCTACCATCATATTTAATAGTTAATAAAATGCCTACTTTCTATATTTAAGATTTTAAATATCAAGGAAGGTTTATAAATTCATTTCCTAATAGTTAGAACTCATGGGATGGTAATCGGAAGCCGTGAGTTCAAGTTATTCGACTTGTAGTGGACTGTTATGTGGGTTGTTTCATGTTGTTCTTGGGCTATCTATTTTGCTACTATTTAATGGAGTTTTGGAGGAAAAATGGTGTGGAGAAACACCACATAATGGCGAAATGGTGGATTAGTCATTCTTTGTAACATTTTCGGGGTGTTTGACACTACTATAGTTATTGTTTTGGGAATGAAGTGATTGGGGGTGTGTTAGGCTGTTGTAAGCTAATTATAACATGGATTTCGACTTGAATTCACTGTAGGAGGTAATTATATTGTGTTCTTGCATGTTCTTAAGATTATCTTGATGTTGATTAAGTTAAATGCATGGGCTAGACATGAACTAGTGAATAAAGTTGTTAATTGAGGATAGTTGGAGTTATGGATTGTTTCCTTTGTTATAAATATATGGTATAAGGCTGGAATCATTGATGAATGACTTAATTATCATGTTAATGATACTGCTAAATTAAATTAAGAAGTCTATAAGGGGTGATATGGGATATACAAGTTTCAATCGGAGCTTGCCACTCGTCGTGAAATAGTTGTGACTTGTTGTTGTTATATGGTGTCTTGTTATTGATAATTATGTGTTGTTGAATTGATCTGGTCATTGTATTTGGTATATGGTATTGGAGGAGGCTCTTGTTACAGGGAAGATACTGCCCAAATTTACATAAGCGAGCTTCTAGTTTAAGTTGCGGACTTAGCCTTTACTCAAGACTGATTTTGAATCTCTTTATGCTTTGGTAGATTAAGTTGAGTTGTTTGAAGAATTGCTTGGAAAGTATTAAGGACTCAATGGTGTTAAGGTATGTTAAGGCTATTCCTTCTTTCCTTTTGGCATGTTGCATATGATATAACGAAATGAGCAAACACACAACTTTCACAAATGACTCTATTCTTAGAAGTACTAGGGCTGCCTATGTTCTTGATTCCCCATATGTCCTATTGTTATATCGTTTGTTCATGGGTCTCAGAAAATACGTAAGTTGATAAAGTTTATTTCATGATATTAACCGAAGGCATATTGATCTCATGACATTCCGAGAGATCTTATTGACTTACTTTATTATGCATTGCATTCATTTATACATGTATATTGACCCATGACCAAATGAAGTTATATACGCGTATAGTATATGTATATGGGGTATGGGGAAAGGTTATGGCGTTATATATGCACTACCATCTGATCAGCTAGTCTACATTGATGATTTCACCCACAATGGCCGAGATGATATGATGGGATGCCCTCAGAGGCTTAATGATATTATGTACGCACATACCTATGCATGATGTGACATTTATACGCATATGCATGACATTATAAATGATTCATGATTCATAGAGCTATTCATACTTATAGGTTGAGTTCTTTACTCCATGTTTCTTTCATGTCTTTTATATACTGCTTTCATGCCTTACATACTCGGTACTTTATTTGTACTGACATCCCTTTGCCTGGGGACGTTGCGTTTCATGCCCGCAGGTCCCGATAGACAGGCTGAGAGTCCTCCTAGTAGGCTATCAGCTCAGCGGAAGGTGTTGGTGCACTCCACTTGCTCCGGAGGTGCCTATTTATCAGTATGATTTAGACATGTATTAATTGGTATGGTAGGACCTTGTCCTGACCTTTATGATGTTTATGTACTATTAGAGGCTTGTAGATAAATGTCATGTTTATGGATACTTGTATGGCCTTGTCGGCCTATGTTTTTAGTGTACAAATGATCATATCGGCCTTATAGTCCCGTATGTCACATGTATAAGTTTCTATATCTTATTGGGTCGTCCTATGTCTAGTATTTCCTTATGTTTTATTTTGGTTATCTCATGACGTCACTTCTGGCCCATTTATCCATGATGGTATGATAAGAAAGATATGTTACGTTGGTGCTCGGTGAGGTAAGGCACTGGGTGCCCGTCGCGGCCCATCGGTTTGGGTCGTGAAAAAAGTGGTATTAGAGCAGTTCTGTCCTAGGGAGTCTATAAGCCATGTCTAGTAGAGTCTTGTTTATGGGTGTGTTGTGCACCACACTTATAAGCAGGAGGCTACAAGGCATTTAGGACTGCCACTCTTTCTTGTTACTCTAGATCATATGGTAGAGCTGAATTGTAAGAATTCAAACTCCTAAATTCTATGTTATTTGTAATACAACGATATTTACATCCAGAAAGACAGTTGGTAAGAGATTGAATATGGCTGTGGAAGAGTTGAATAAGAGGAACTCGATTTTGCATCATGCTTATGATGAGTAAATGTAAGGTCTTCAGCAGATCATACATGTACTAAGATGTGTAAGTTTCTTGATAAGGAACCCTATGGCATGAATATCTATCCACCCCTATGGTAAAATAAACGAGAGAATCAGAAGGTAGATACAAGTTTCAACAAGTAAAAGAAGCAAGGTGAAGAAGGATACGAGGTACCCAGTTAGTGAAGATTATCAGTATTTACAATTCAGGCAGAGAAATATAAGCATTCTGAGTTACTTTCAACAGTAACAAAGATATATACAATTGACCACACCTATCCCAATTATGCCCTATGGGAGCTAACATATATAATTTAAGAGAAGGATGGGATATCAGGATCCAGATGAGGTTAGAGTAACCCAAAATTGTGGATGGATTGTTATCATTAGCTCACATTTCTGAAGGATATTGCAAAGGTGGTAATAGTTCTCCTTGTGAGACACCCAGATAATGCACTCTAGAGTAGTACAGTCAGATATGAATACTAGAATGTTCAGAAATTTCAGAATATAGGCAGTGGAATCCTAGAAGGGATAAATATTTACCTTAGTATGACTCCCGTCTCTAGAAAAAAAAGGAGAGAGAATGTTAGGCATCTCGAAGAGCCAGTGAGATGAAGCAAGGGGAGCTATAAGTGAAAGAATGTTTTGTTGAAGTTTTCAGAATAAAGTGATAAACATAAATATTAGAGGGAGAATAGGAAGAGAGTCAATGAAGTATTATGAGTAAGATGTGATAAATGGATGATAACGGTAAATCAAAATATGATAGGATTATAGATTCTATAGTCAAGTGAAGGAAAAGACAAGAGGTGACATGCCTTGAGACAATAAAAGAGTATAAGCCATAAAGTCATGTCCCCATTTTGAGAAATGAGTTGGTGACTCGTACGTGATTACCAGAAGGAAAAGTTAGACCCCAGGATTAAT